CTGGAGGGGATGGAAGTCTCCTGGGCTTCAGGTCTCCCCTGGGGCCGTGCAGAACAGGCACGCCTGAAGTGGGCTACAAGCAGGATGTGGAAGGGTGTTGCTAGGGGCAGCCATAGACATTGGAGGGGACGGAAGTCTCCTGGGCTTCAGGTCTCCCCTGGGGCCGTGCAGTGGGCTACAAGCAGGATGTGGAAGGGTGTTGCTAGGGGCAGCCATAGACACAAAGTCTCTATGTTGAACCTGAGATTCTAAGGTTATGAATGGGAGTGACCCACAATGGGAAGTGCTCAACTTCCTCCTACCTGCCTGACTCAGAGGCCCATGGCCTTCCCCAGAAGAGGTGAAGAGGCTTAAGGACATTTTCTCTATCCTCTTGGTTAACTGGGAACAACTAAAAAAAAAAAATTTCTCTCAGGGTAAATCACAAAAAAAGTGTTTGCAGGGAGAAGGAACTCAGACTGATGCCCCAAGGACAGAAAGTCAGTAACAAGGGAAAATAGTAAACCTAGCTCTACTATTGTAAACCTAGCTCTACCTAGTACCTTAGCACAAGTGACACAGCGCGTGTGTATGTGTGTGTGTGTGTGTGTGTGTGTGTGTGTGTGTGTAATGTGGCTGGCCTCTGAGAAAGTAGTGGTGGCCCCTTCTTCAGTGGACAGGAGTGGAAATCCCAGGCCCCAATCAGTTGAAGAAATTCCATGGTTCACAGGGAATCATGCTCTCTTCCTGAGGGTAATCTAAAGATGTAAGAACAGAAAAATGCACACGATAAATAAAACTACAAGGCTGACAATAGTCTTCTGCAGTGTCCTCAATAATCCTGCCACTATCAACAACTTAAAAATGCTGAATAAAATAGCTGTAAAAAATATCTGGGAATGTACTGCTGAGCTAAAGAGCAAGGAAAGCATCAAATCCTCTGAGGCCAAAAATGAACGAAGACTAGGACTAGAGAAAGGTTAGGGAAGACTGAAGCTGACACCCACCACTCAACGTCTGTGACCTTGAACTTCTGATGGTCACAGGGATGAGGGAGATGGAAGGCAAACTTTCAAGGAGGAAGTCTAAAGAGAAACCACTGTAAAATGTTAGAACTAGGACTAGACCTTGGGCAAAAGGCAAACAGAAACAAACCCATTCACAGAAGGGACAGCAAGGGAACCTGGTTCTTTAATCTTGGTGTAGGGTGAAAGTTAAAAGAAATCTCAATCCCAAGTCTCTAACCATAAAGCCAGCCTACTGTGGGCACAAATTTACATTACCTCAGTGGTCTGAACCTCAAGTTGAGGGTGTATATAAAGGTGATCCTCAACCTTTTGAAATACTAAAAACGACTGAATCACACTTTTTTAAAAGGCAGATTTAAAAGGGTATGCGAACTCCCCTCACACACTCACACTCATAAATGCCAGTGAATAATGGGAAGCCCCAATGGTGCACCAAGGAACTGGGCAAAAGTATGCAAACGTTCTCAAGATGAACATACTTTCAGGTCAACTTCTGTCATTTACTGATATAATTCTAATAAGACATTTGAGTTTAAAAAAATGACAAAATATAGCAGGAAACAAGCATTCATGAATAACAGTCAACAAATTAGGTAAGTTTTCAAATACTAGAGTCATCAAAGAATATGTGCATGTAACCCTATATTAGAAGAAATAAAATAGACTATAAATAATACCAAAATTAACATAAATTCTAGAAATTAAGAAATATAATAATTGATAATGGAAAATAAATTTGATATGCCTAAGGAGAGAATTAAAAGATGAAAGATAGATAAGAGAATTTTTAAAAAATATTTTATTTATTATTTTTATTTTATGTGTGTGCACTTATTGCCTGCATGTGGGTAAGTGCACCAGTGTCGTGCAATGCCTACGGAAGACAGAAGAGGCAGTCGGATACCCTGGAACTTGAGTTACGGACAGATGTTAGCTGCCATGTGGGTGCTGGGATTCAAACCCGGGTCTTCTGAAAGAACAGCCAGTCTTAACTGCTGAGCCATCTCTCCAGCCCCCAGATAAGAGAATTTAAAGACTAAAATAAAAAAGCAAAGTATAAACAAAAGTTTAGGAGATTAAAAAGACAGAAAGTGAGAAAGTCTAACAAATGTCCTACTGGAATCCAAGGAGAAGTAAAGGCCAAGTGTCAGCATTCAAAGAAGTAAGGGCTGAGAATTTTCTGGAACAGATAAAAAGCCTAAATCCTCAAACTAAGGAATTCCAACAAAATCCTAAGGGACTGAATAAAAAAGAAATTCATAGTCTGATCAGAGTGAACCTGCAGAAACCACAGAAGTCTTAACATCAGCCAGGAAAGCATGGCAAATTATCCGTACGAAGAAGTAAACTGGCCAACAGCAGCAACGAAAAGTCCATGAGTAACCGCTTTCAGTGTGTGAAGAGAAAATGAAATTGCATCCTCAGCAAAGCTATCACCCCCAAAATATCCTGAGAGCATCAGGTAAAATTATTTTCAGTCAAAAGTGAGGTTATTAACCACCTCCAATAAAGGAAATTATAGAGAAGCAACTTCAAGCCAAAGAACAATCCTAGAGGGCAGAGAGCAAATGGAAGAAGATTCTATAGGCAGAGAAAATTCTATAGGCATAAAAAAGCAGTGAATTTATGAAAAATAATATTTTCATTAGTGGGATTAACAAAATAAGGTAGAACAAATTCTGGCTAACAGGAGCATGCAGGGCATGATGGTCATGTTGTCCAGAGGGGTAACTGCACTGGAAATACTTCAAGCTGAACCTAAAGAACAGAATTAGCCAGGCGTGGTGGCTCACACCTTTAATCCCAGCATTTAGGAGGCAGAGGCAGGGGGATCTCTGTGACCAGCCTGGTCTACATAGCAAGTTCCAGGTCAGCTGGGGCTACAGGGATACCCTGTCTCAAAAAGACAAAAAAAAAAAAAAAAAAAAATTAGTATTAAAGTGTATCATTTATAACTGGGAGACCTTGAAACAGCATAAAATTGCCATAGAAAGAAATCAATGGATATTGCTCAAAACCACAATAAATTAAAGAGCAATCAAAACATGTTATTTAAAGATATGGACAAAAGGGGCTGAAGAGATGGCTTAGCGGTTAAGAGCACAGGCTGCTCTTGCAGTGGACCTGGGTTTGATTCCCAGCACCCACATGGCAGCTTACAACTGTCTGTAACCCTGGTTCCAGGAAAATCTGATACCTTCTTCTAACCTCCATGGGCACTGCATGACATGGGTGCACTTATACACATGTAGGCAATACACTCATATACATTAAATAA